GGTGGTCATTTTCGTAGTTTCATTTCAACCTGAGAAAATTTTGTGTTGTAATTTATGGATTTAATAAATGAATAAATAATGACAATAAATAGAAGATAATTTTGGTGAAATATTTAATTGTTTGTAATTATTAAAGTTGTTGGGTCGAAATGATGAGCGTCTTGAATTCCTTTTTATTTCCATCATTACTCATGAAAAAAGAAAAAAAAGCCATTTAATTCCTTTTTCTTAAAGTTAATATGATTTTTAAATAGTGGAGACATTAAAATATAAATAAACAAATTTAAAAAATCATCTTATTTTTTAAAATATTAGTTAAATATTGTATTTATAACCAGTGATGTTATGTTACACCAACCAAACAAATCCTCTGCTATTATGAAATATGGCTAAAATAAAATAAAATAAAATAAATATTATCCAACGTGGCAGGGCAAAGCTTATCAACAGCTGAATGGCTTAAATAAAAGAGAGATTATTTAATTAAAAACAAAAATAAAAAAATATCATTTCATAAATGTTACATCTTAAATCTTATGGATGAAAAAGGAATATTATCTCATATAATATTACAAAAAGGAAAAGAAAAATTAAATCACAATCCAATGCCTTTTTTTCTTTCTTTTATTTGTTATTTGCGGATGATAATGCAAAATATGCTTTTGGATTGGCGGCTAACTATTAAAGTTCGGGATTGATGTGCTAGCTTGTTTTGTTCTTACTCGTTCTATATAAATTAAAAAAAAAAAAACGGAATTTTTATTATTTAGCCACATAAAAAATATACAACTTATTGATATAAGTAATAACTTTTCTCCTGTCTTAATATGCCACATGTACCATTCTCATTGGTTAGATTTATATCCATTCATCCATTAACCACTATGTTTTCTCTATTTTATTTTATTTTTTAATATTATCACTTTTATTTATTTATTTATTTATTAATTTATTCAGTCATAAGGTTGTGACCTTTGTTTTTAATTTCTGATTTGCCAAACGTGGTCTTACTTTTTGGAAGATTTTCAAAATGTCTATTAAACAATTACAAATATTAAATTTTTCGACACGTTTATGTCAAAAAATAAAAATTAATTTATGTCGTATTTTTAAAAGAAAAGAACGTGTGGTTACTTACATGAAACTCATTAAAATAATATTTAAATTATAACAAAATTAATATAATTAAACTAATATTGACCCATAGGGTTTCAGATAATTTCATTTTATAACATATAATACAATGTTTATATAAGAAAAAAAGCATATAATATATTTAATAATATTTATTTGTTCACGAGGAATTTAATTGCCATTTAAAATTAAGGTTATTCTTCCTAATTGGCGTACTGCCTTTAATTAAATACAATTTTTGTCCTTTTCATTTTTATTCCTTTAATATTTTATATTTATAATTTTTTTATTTATTCCCTAACTTTACTTTTTGGATTAATAAAGGGTGAATTAATATAATCTTTCATAGTTTTGTTTTGAATTTTCTCAAAATGTCTGATACCAATAGAGAGAGTATTTTTTGATTATAAACCTATGATCATTCCCCAAATTAGCAGATGTGGGACTTTTTATCCAACAATGTCGATCTATTTTAATTATTTTAAGGTTAAAAAAACACTACAACTCCATATTTTTTAAATAAATGTATTTTAATAATTTAATCTTTATTATTATGTAGATTTCAAGTTACTCAAATATAAATTTCCATTAAATCTTGACGTAATAATTAGTAGACAAAAAATGTGGGAAAATATATTTAAAATAATAATAATAATAATAATAAGTAATTTTAGGAATTAGTTGGGAATAAATGGGGACAACTTAATTAGCAATAATATGAGGATTATAATTTAGAATTTTATTAAAGATGAGAATAATAATATAAACTTGGTTTTTATTGAAAGTAATAACAAATTTCCAACATGGTAAATAGGATGGTGAGTCACATCATTACGTGGGGGCGGTTTCTGACTAATTGATAACTATGAAACTGTAATTGGTGGCAACTTCTAGATCATTTTAATATATATATATATACATACATATATCATATGGTGATATGTATGTGATGGATGGATGTGATTTTGTCAAATCCATGTTCATAGGTGGGCCATGATATGATGTAAAGTTTGAATTTGAAAACGACTATTATTTTACTCTTTTTTGGAAAAATAGGAATTGATTTTACTCGTTAATTTAAGTAATGATCATGTTTGTAAGTGAGGAATACTATCTTCATTGATATGAGGTATTTTGGAAGCTCAAAACAAAGTCATAAGAGCTTATACTAGACAATATCATACCATTATGGAGGGCTACGATTGAGGGAAGGATTGTTGAGGAGTATTGGGAATGAGTCAAAGATTGAAGCCAGTTTAAAAAAAAATAAATTATAGTGATAATGACAAAATTAACTTTTTATTTAATAATAATAATAATAATAATAATAATTGGTTAAAAAAGTAACTATTTTCACTAATTAAAAATTGAATTTTAAAAAATTGGATAATATTTTAAACAATATTAAGATTGCAATAATGAAACAAATAAAGGTACAAAAAGTGAGAGGAAAGGAAAAAGAATGAGCTGGAAATTACACGTGTAGGTGTTGGTGGAAACAGAGAAATTTTAATGGAAAAACCAACCGAGCCAGTCGCCAGACAAGCAAAGGGAACCGGTGGGACCCATCCACGTCACTGACACGTGGGATGTTTGAATTCAAATGCAAAGTATACATTGCCCTTCTGGTTAGTTTTTCCTCTTTCTTTTTGCCTTCACCGTACGCTTCCCGCGGTTCTATTTTGGCGCCTAATTTCTCTCTCCAATGCTAAGAATTAGAATTAAAAATTTATTTTATTTAAGTAATAATTTAATTTTATTATTTTTAATTTTATAATAATTTTACTTATTTTCAAATTTGTAATGGTAATAGTAAATAATTTAGGCATAGGAAATAAATTTGATCGACAAAGTAAATTATTTTTTACCAAATAAAATAAAATAAATAAATAGGTTGTCCTTTAGCTGGGGGAAAGAGTAAAACTACAATTTTCACTTTTTTTTTTAATTTATTATTATTATTTAAAAAGATGCCGACCTTAATAAAAACATTAAATTTTTAGAAGTAATAATAATAACATAATTGACTTCAAAAACAATTGGCACAATAAAAATATCTTTTTTATGTAATGGATTGGAAAAGGTCATGGTCATGGTCGGCATCAATGTTATTTTGAAATAAATAAATAAATAAATATTATTTTGAAATAAATAAATAAATGAGTTAGTTTTTTGGTGGCTGATTTAAAAGCAAAAAATCAATTTCTCACTCAAAATTTATGTAAAATCTTGGTTGATAAATTTGCATTTTAATTAAAAAAAATAGTATTGAAATTTACTATTGAGTAAAAAATAAATATCATTTTTAACCCAAGGTAAAAAGGATAGGATAATTAAAGGATGATTTGACAAAAGAAGGGAGGCATTAAAACCGAACACGTGTGAGGCACTAAATTGGGAAAAAGGGGAGAGTCAATCACTAGCAACCACTAATAATTTTGGCTTATTATTTAAGAATTAAATGTTGTATAGTTTCACAAATGACTACCACCAATAAAAACTATTTTAATAAATTTTCAATACTTTTCTAGGGCAACTAAAGGGTTCAAAACTCGAATTTTGAAAATACCCAACCCGATTTCTAGAAAAGTATCCACGTGTTCTCAAAACTAAAAAATGGGTTCCGAAATCGTTGTTATTAATACCATGTGCTCGTGTTTTGCTTCTCATTTTGTTGAAAACTCAAATTTTAAACTGTTACGTATCGTAGTTGGCTTTATGATTTTAAGGCGTATACTAAGGAAAGGTTTCCACGATCCAACCACTTGGGACCAATACCTCACGGTTTTCACACCCTTATAAAAGAATGTTTCGTTTCCCTCTCTAATAGATGTGAGATTTCACAATGACGAGCTAAAACGAACAATATTTTCTAACCATAGGCTAACAAATTATATAAAGGGAAATTCACCAATTTGGAATGAAAATGCTTTAGCGTTACTTTGGAAATAGCAAACGGATAAAGTTTGGGCCTCGAGTAATAAACTAGGCCCAATTATCATTGCAATGGAGCCGAGTCGAGCCGAGCCGAATATTTTTAATTAGACTTTTTAAAAATGTATAGACCTATTTTTTTTTATTATACTCTTAATATTGCATTCGGATGAAAAAATTTAATTAAAATTAAAATAATTAATATTTTCTATATAAAAAAATAATAATAAAATCAATCAACACTGGGCCGTTTGCGAATAGGCCCAATTGAGAATGAACTAAGGCCCAAATATCCATGGGCTAAATGGGATGAGCCCAATTGAGTACAAGGCCCATGTATTGTGTCAACTGATTACTCCCTAATTTTTTGAACGTACTCTTCTACATGTGCATAACCTATTTAACTTGAAATCATGTGTATGTAAATGTTGCTCATGTAAATACTCGGAACATATTTTATTAATTATTTAAAATAAAAAAATGATAACTAATATAGATATGTTTTATTAAGGGTGTTCGTGCTCTCGGGTTGAGTTAAAACATTTTTAGACCAAACCCAGTTATTAGGATCATAAAGTTTTTCAATCAAAACAATCCTGGATAAAAATCTTTTTTATCATGAATAAAAGGAAAATATTAAACATTTAATTAAAATTTGTAACTCATATTTTGATAAAAAAATTTATGTATAATTGTATCACGATAAAATATACATTATTTTTTTATATCTTTTTAAAATTCAAATATTAAAATAGATATTTCAAAATTTTAAAATCTATATAGAATAAAGTTAGAAGTTTGAAGATAAAAATAAGATTCAGAATTTAAAATTTTAAAGTGAAGATAGCATAATTTATATAATTATTTTTAGATAAATCTTCATATCCAATGGAATTTTAATAAATACAAACATTGGCTCTTCTATATAAATACCTAAAGCTTCTCTTTGAAACCAAAACCTGGAAGAACATACGGAATTTACAGTGCAGTAATACGTCGGAGATCTGCGGCGGCGTCTGTTTTCCTCCGCCCTTATTTCCTGTTTTCAAGCTCTTGCATTTTCCCGTCCCCTAGGGTTTTGCGCCATTACAGCGCCTCTGATCGTTGGACCTCTCGCCTATTTCTAATTTTCTCGTCCAGATATCGGAAAAAGAAAATGCTCTCTGGATTATTTGTACGATAGGTCGGAATGTTATTTCCATCAGTTTTAGAGCTCACATTTAGCCTTTTGTGTTTGTGATTGTTCTCGTTCTTGATTTTGATTCCTCGAGTTATTATTAGTTTTTTTTTTCTTTTTTCTTCTGATTTTGAATTGCCTTCTGGAATCAAAGAAGAATCCAATCGGTTTCTAGATTTTGGTTGATTGAATGAGGCGGACTGAAATACAGAGCCAATGAGCGATGGGGCTAGGAATAACATGAAGTCGAAAGAACAACAAAGCTCTGATTCGAGAAAATGCAGAGGCAATGAGTTTGGACGAGAGGTGTCGAGAATTGCTGTGGCTCAGATATGTAATAGTGCAGGGTTTCAGAGATTCAAGGGGTCAGCTCTAGACGCATTGGTCGACATCGCCATCAAGTACCTTCGCCATTTGGGTAAGATAGCAGCATTCTATGCTAATTTGGCTGGTAGAATTGAGTGCAATGTTTTTGATATAATTAGAGCGCTTGAAGAGTTGGAATCATCACAGGGGTTTCAGGAGGCTTGGGAACCAATTCAATGTCTTGCTAATTCAGGGTCAGTGAAGAACATTGTTCGGTACGTGAATTCAGTTGAAGAGATCCCTTTTGCTCACCCATTACCATGTTTCCCTGTGATCAGAAACAGGAAGGCAATTCCAAGTTTTCTTCAGATTGGTGAATCCCCACCTGGCAAACACATTGCCAATTGGTTACCAGCTTTCCCTGATGCTCGTACTTACGACCCTTCAACTTTGTGGAGGAGGAGCCCGAGTGAGCTGTGTGCCGAGAAGATGGAGGTGTCGAGGCAGGGAAGGAAGGCAGAGAAATCCGTGTCGGGTTTGCAGAAGAGATTGGTTTCCTGTGGTTCAGCAAGAAATGGTAATGGGGAGATTGAGTTATCAGGAGGTGAGAGTAATCCATTCCTTGGGACACGTTTGCAAGAGATGGAAGATGGGACTGCCATGGATGGGATAAGCCGTTTGTCTGTGCCAGAGGTGGTTGCTCCTGCCATTGAAGCGACTAATGGCAGGCCTCCTGTTCGTTTCAAGTTAGAAACTAGCAAAACCTTTCTTAGAGGATCTAGGAATTTGAATGCTAAAATGGCAGGGAACAGGGAATCAGTGTTCTGGATAAGACGAGATGATGAAAGAGATGAAAAGAAGAGGAGAGTTGAATACATTCCCAGACATTCTGAAAACTCTCATGAGGAGCTCAACCAGTCATGAATCAGCACTGCTTCAACATGTTAAAATTCTACTTTCTGAAGCAAACGCTTCATCTTCAATATTGCAATGACAAATGTGCCTGTGATCTAAATTTATACAATGAATTTCTTTTTCTTTTCATCTTGTTTCCTTCATTTTTTCATAGATTTGATATTCATAACTTTAACCTGGCACTGATGCAGCACCTATTATGAGAAACTTCAGCTCCTTAACAAAGTTTAGCACAAAATTTTTGCAAGCTAAGCAAATGATTCCAATGAGATGACCTTTACTAAGTGCTTGCAAGTATAAAAAAAGATTGCCAAGTTTGCATCATAACACAAAATTCATTATAGAGAACGATCCAGAAGGCCGAAGAGAAAAACTACCGTATTGATAGCAATCAGCATTGGCAGATAAAAGCACAAACTAATCTAATTATAGTAAACTGCAGAAAAGCATGCATATTTTATATCAATCCAGAAGAGGCCTCTTATTCAATAACAATGGGACTAGAAATAAAGAAGGGAAAACCTCAAAATATCCAAAATACGTGAAGAAACACTATGTTGATGGAACGGAGCAGTGCCTACTTTAAGCTCTTTAACGATCATTTATGGTTCCAGCTTGATCTCAATGTTTCAGCTTCAAATCCAGTTGCTGGGAAAATAATTTGCCTCGGTGGTTGAAGACCATGAAATCTAGATTGGCAGGAAGAGAAACTATCCTGAAATGGAAACAATTTTCTTCTATATGAAAATTAATTGAACTTGCTTGCTGAAACAACATACTAATAATAGTGAAATTAGTAGAACAACTCCAAATTGTTGTAGTCTATTCAGAGCTTGAACGAAATTCAAATTGAAGGGATAGAATCTATTCCCACGGACATAAAAGGGAGAAACCAAATAGATGAACTCTAAAACTTCTAATGGATTGATATCTACCTATCTTGAATATTTAAGTCTCGGTTGATAAAACCTTCTAAGCAAACCAAATTAACTCCTAGATCCTGAGAAATTGTGAGATCGTGCACGAAGCATTCTTTATAAAAGTGTGGAAACCTCTCCCTAGCAGACGCAATTTAAAAACCTTGAGGGAAAGCCCGAAAGGGAAAAAAGAGGACAATATTTGCTTGCGGTCGGCTTAGGCCATTACAGAAACTATATGGCGTAGTACTTGTTATTCAAACTTTGAAGCACAAGAAGGCACAGCAGCAAATTGCCAGATACCAGTGGGGAACGTCAGGTAACGACGGTTACATGACTTTGGATAGAGATTGTACCCTCCAATTTAAGGTTTCGACCCAATGTTTTACCATTCATGTTCCTAGAACATGTAACATGAGACTGTGTCATGATAAAAAACATTGTCACAACAAGGCAAAATGCTGTTACTTCCCTAACAAAATTCTTGAAGAATTACAATACAAGTGTTGGTGAATATACTCTGCTGCACCTAAGAGCTATCTCCTTTTGTTATTCATAGGACATCTTTGTTTGAGTTGATGGGAACTAAATTCAACTTCTCTTTGATTCAAAATCCTCAAACTAAAGGCATTGCAGACTGCACCAATAGATTTAACAAATCTTCTGGATTCTTTAAAATTTCTGATATAACCTTTAGCAGAATTTTGTTACCCAAGCTAGCTTTTCTGGATTGGCAATTGGTCTACCACCTTCAACCCCAAAGCGATATCGTTTTTCGTGCAAATGAAATCAATCGATACTGTTTTATGGAGATGGGCAATGCCATATCAATGGGGAAAAACTAATGGTGCAATTCTATTCTAAAACGCATAATTGAGAGGAAAAAATACCTATTCTCCTCGGATTCTGGATTAATCGAGAGAAACTTCCCAGGCACGGTGAGTGCAGCCCACATGGACAATACCAACCCTAGAACCAATTCGATTGCCACCTAAAATTTGGGGAAAAAACTTCCTTAATTCAAAAACAACTCAAATCGATAGAGAAATGCGAAACCAGTTGAAAGCTAAAGATTAAACAAAGAAAAAGAGGGATGAGAATACATTAAACGGAGGTCCTGCAAACTCTTCCTGCATGATCTTCAATAAACTCCGATCTGCAATCAAAACAAGATAGATTAAGAATTGCGGGGGTATACCAGCAACAACAAGAAGCAAGTAAAGATACAATCAGAGAGTATAATCATAGGTTTTGTTTAGGGCTAACATTGGATGGTTGAATAAGCAGCATGAGCCAGAATTAGAACTCCGAAGACGCCGACCACGAAACCCACTCCCATCTCGACTGACGGATCTAAATCCCCGACGGCGGAAACTACGATTTCAACGTGAAGAGACTTCAAATTTCAACGCGAGGGGACAAATTTTAACAAACAATCTAGAGAGAATTTCCAATTTCTCACCTCGACGAACTCCGATTTTTTGCTTGATTTATGTCAATCTCACTCGATCTCCGACTTAAAATTTTGTGTTTACGAATTTAACATTTTTAAAAATTAATCAATCATTAGAAAATAAATTTAAATGTTAGAAAAACTCTTCCGATATGAGAGTTTTATAAAATTATATAAAAAAATTATAAGGTTTTATGAACTAAAATCATATGAAAGAATAAATTAGGAATGAAATTAACCATTTAACTATTTAAATTTTATGTATTTAGACTTTGAGTCTGTGAGATCCCCGTCAGTTAGAGAGAATAACGAAAAATTCTTTATAAAGGTGTAGAAACCTCTCCCGAGTACATGCGTTTACAATATTTGCTAGCGGTGTGCTAGTGATGATGCTGAGTCCCAAATAGAGGTAGACTTGTGTCAGCGAGGACGTTGGGCTCAAAAGGGGTGGATTGTGAGATCTCACATCGATTGGAAAGGGGAATGAGTATTAGCGATAATGCTGGGCTTTGAAGAGAGGTGGATTATGAAATCTCACATCTGTTCCGGTAGGAGAACGAAGCATTGTTATAAGGGTGTGAAAACCTTTCACTAGCAGACACGTTTTAAAAATATTGAGGGAAAGTCCAAAGAGGACAATGAAACGGTTTGTTTGGGGGGTTAGTCTATTGTGAGAAGAACTTGGTAACCTCTGAGGTATTAAAACGGTTTGTTTCCCATTTTGTGTCTCTCGAGTTGTCTTATTATGGAAAATGAAACGGTAAATCTTTTATCTGTTAACGTGTACAACTTGATCTTTAAGATATCTACTTTCCACGACTGAGCGTTTTAAACTTGATTTAACTCATTTACTATAGGGCACGAAAAAAGAAGCCAAAAGTCGAGCGTAACGAACCCTTCTAAATGAAGAAAATTCCCTATTTCTGCAACGAAACTCAAACCCAAACACCAAATGGTTAAGATTTAAAAATTATTTTTTAAAGTTAATTTCTTTTTCTAAAAAGCTTTAATCATGACCATATTAAGCTATAAATATCATTATAAAGTAAAGTCTTTATTTTTATATATTTTTTATTATAAGGTTAAATAATGCTAAATACATTTCACTTGGTATTAAAAAAATATAAGGCCTTACAAATTCACAATTTTATTTTATTTTTTAATTTTAGCATTTTGAGGAATTAAACTTTTTAATTTGTTTTCCCCCCTCTTTCATTTTCACAAAGTAAAATTATTGTTTTTATTTTTTATTTTTCTTTTCTCCTTCTTTCTCATCTCTCAACTGTACACGGCTGTCGGAAAATTCTTTCCGGTTTTCATCGTTTTCGTTTAATATTCGAAGCTTGTGGAATTGCAGATTGTTCGATTTCTTGAATCTATCTCTGGTATTGTCAGTATATTGTACGTGTTTGATTTGCTTGTTGATTTTTGTGGAGATTTTTTATTTTTTTAGTTGACCATGGGTGAAGTTAGAAACCCTAAATCCTCTCTAGTGACCTAAAATGGAGTGGAGATGATTATAATCTTTGTTTTCGATCGTCTTCTAGGAAGTTGGATTGGTGGAATTTTAACGTAATTTGGTTAATTAGTTGTTTCATGGAAGGTTTAGGTGAGTGATCGGTCTTCGGATTTAATTTAGGGTTAAAGAATTTGAATTAGTTGGCAATTCTCTGCCGTCTAGCAGTGTTGAATTTCTAGTTCGAAGTTTGGTTACTAAATTTATTTTAGTATGTGAGTTATAAGTTTACGTGTGGTAGTACTTTAATTGAATTGCTGTAATTAGGTTTTGTTAGCATTTTTGTGTGGAAGATTTGGGATAGATGGGATGCTTCGAGACAATATATGTGCAATCATGAGTTCTGTTGTAATTGGTTATACTTAATCTTTATCCAGTTTATTTTTTGATGATCTATGAATTGATGAACAAACTACTCTTTAAGTTCTACTCTTAGTTCTTAATAAGGAGAGCATGTGAAGCTTTGTAGAGATTTCTACCATTAACATTTTTGGTGCCTTTGCTTATACACGATTAGATTGGATAGACAGATTCCAATTATAAGTGCCACTCTTTCTCGTTTGATTGATCTCTTTCCAAACTCGTTCTCATATGATATATCTCTTTTCATTATTTTTTTTTTAAATCTGTGATTTCTCTGACTTCGAAATGATCACCCATTGTTGCAGTAGGTTTCTGATGCTTGAGAGCATCATTTGGAAGTCGATGAAGGACAAGAGTAAATAGTTCATTAAAGAAATATAAAATGCAGATAGATTCAATACTCTCCTCCAACTCGGAGACACATCTTCTTTCAGAGACTATCATTGCTCATGTTGGAGATCAGGGCATTGCAGCATCAACTCCTGAGCGTGTCGTAGAACCCCTGCCTGGTACTTTATTGCCATTTTTAAGACATTTTACATATGACAAATTTCCTTCCTCTAATGTTTTCTTTATTGGTTTATGCAGCCAAAAGGCCTACTCGACAATGGGCTGCTTGGACACGTGAAGAGGAGGAAAGTTTCTTCACTGCATTACGGCAAGTTGGAAAGGCATGTAGTTGTCCCCCTAACTGCATCCTGCTGCTTTGCATATTTTTTAATATGTGATACCTCCCTAACTGCATCCTGCTGTCTACGCAGAATTTTGAAAAGATCACTTGCCATGTCCAAAGCAAAAACAAGGACCAGGTGCTTGTTATTGATGGTCTTCTTTTTGAAAGTTAAACCTTAGACTTGTGCTCCAATCCCTTCTTATGTCTATATTCTTTAAATTTTCTGTAACCAGGTCAGACACTACTATTACCGTCTAGTAAGGCGTATGAATAAGCTGTTGGCTCCTGGGTTATGTCTGGATGCAAAAAATTCCAAGGATACTAATGCTGCAATGCTCCGATGGTAAAAATTACTATTAATTATGCTGCTATCATTCCTTCTATCTTACCTATGCTTTCTAAACGTGTGTGATTATTTTTATTTGATTGATAACTGAGTAAATGTGTGAAGAATTGTTAAAATCAAGTTGGATTCTGCCATAATGCCATTTGGAATCGTTGTTGAGAATGCTGGCATTCGTGTATTTGGAGAGAGTCTGACCAAAAACATGAGTGAACTTTTTTATTTATGTATTAATTTAATGTGTTATTCTAATTTTCATTGTTTAGTCTAACTACTTCAAGTAATAACATGAGAAAGCTATCTATTTTGAAAAAGATTGTATAGTGTGGGTGTTTTGGTTTTTCTCTCACTGTATTTCATATGTCCAACAGGTGGTCATTACTGGAAAAATACAGTTGCAAAGCTTCAAAGCTTCACCTGAAACCCCGACGTTTTAAGATTTTTGTTGAAGCCTTGGTGAGTCAAAGCTATCTAATCCATCCCATCCTTTGGTGTCTTTCAATGTTTGAAACTCTTCTTCTGTGCTGCTGAACTGACCAACTCACTTTTACATGAAGGAGCATCAACTTTTGAAAGATCGGAAGAAGACTGTAAGAAAACGTCCATTGCAGGGAGAAAACTGCCCTCCACCCATGCCAAATGCTGTCTCTAATCAGAGTAGAGCTTTAGGGCATGACGGGCGTGCAGTTAAATTAGTCTTAGTTGACACTCAAAACATTCCAAAATTGGGCCATAGGAAAACTGCATCAAGACGCAATGTGAATGTTGGTATTAACCGTGGAAACAATGGTGGATATCCCACAGTCCTTAAACCATCAAGGCAGAGAAGAAAATCAGGTGTGAGCTCTTCCTCGAAAACATTTTGTTTTGGGAGGATTTTGGTTTGATCGACAAGATTGAATACATTAATTAGTGTCTCCTTTTCTAGTTATTGCCTTGTCTAACTTTGTGAATGTGCTATCTAAGATCAGTTTTGTAAAGTGATCAAAAATGGATTTTATAGGAAAATGAATGTTTAGAAGATGGCAATAAGATTTTAAAGTTGCTTTGTGTTTTGGGTTGCACAATCAATGTTAAGCATGAGAGTATTTATTCATTGGGTATTTGTACTTTTAGAAGGAGGTGTATCATCAGCTGCATATAAAAAATGGGAAAAAGCTGCAATAGCAGGCGTTTCTTTGGTTGCTGATGCTGCCGAGCATCTAGAGCGCACTATTACAAACAGAGATGTTTTACATGATCAAAATACTGTAGGTAAGCCATTAGCTTGTAATTTTCTATTTACATTGTTCAAAACTTTGTATGAAAGATAGTAAGCAAAATCAGTTCCTATGTTGAAGGGTGAAGGAAAATCTATTAGATTTCTTCACTGTTGTGACTTTTGCTGCTCTCAAACTTTCAGAGGAAAAGAATTCTGATCCTGCTGGGAGCCCCTTGCTGCTATTGGCTCCTCTTCAGCCAAATTCCTTGATTGATGTTGCTAATACAAAGCTGAAGCTTCAGCTATTCCCAGTTGATGATGGTACTCGTAGAGCCTTGGAATTGGTGAGAGTGATACGAATTGCACCAATCAATTCTATGTTAAGCACTTTGACATTACAACAATGTTAATGTCCTCTTTTTTTCAGGACAAACACAATCCACACTTGGAGCTCACTCTTAGTACTCGCAAGAAAATCTCATCAGTTTTAGAGCATCTAAGTCGCAAATGGGGTAATTCAAGTGCTGCTCATGGAGCGCTTATGCTTTTTCCTTACAGTATGCAGAAAAAATGCCTGGCAGAATGTCAGAGATGGACACAGGACTCCTTTGAGAGTGCGGGTGACGTCTATGCGGCAATTGGAAGGCCTCAAGTTTTCCGTTTAAGGTTTAATTTTTTTTTCTTTGGAGTTTTATTTGATAAGATAAACGAGTAACAAAGAACGTTACTGACATGAAATCTTCTTGAAGGTATGGTTGGTGTTCCAATGCAGAACATGGGTCTCCTGAATTACAGACATCCGTACCAGCATACTGCATTCAAGATGATCATATTATAGATGCCAGGGATATCAACGGACGGATTGTGGATTTAGCATCAATCGATGATCAACCTGTAGGTCTTAATAAGGATGAAGTAGGTACATTGAATGATAATATGTCAACTCCTACTGTGCCCAATGAGACAGAAAGGTTCATATGTGGACGT